CCACTCTCCACAGTCTCTTCTGCAGCGAGAGCCACCAGGGCCAGGTCTGCCCTGGGCATGTGGCTCTCTCCAGGGGGGGACTGTGACACTCATGCATCCCTACCCACTCCCAGTAGAGCATGGAGGGGGGAGCTGGCTCCCTCCCTTCCTATCCCCAGCACTTGGGAACCAGCTTTCATCCTCCAAAACACAGTGCCTGGCCTGGTGACAAGGAGCCTTGTCCTCATCAATTTCCCTGGAGCCCCAGGTCAAGCCTGCCCAGACCCCAAAGCAGCATGTCTTGTTTCCGCTGACCCAGCAGTGCAGGTCCTGAGCTGCTGGGGATGCAGAGGGCCCTCAGGGGGCTGGGACAGGCAGCCTGGGGGGCTACCCATCCTGGCCGCAGTATGGGCTCTTCCTGCAGCCCTGATGCCTCCTGTACTTCTGAGCCCACTAGCAGAAAGAGGGAGGGGCCAGAAGAGCCTTTGGCTCAAGAAGGAACCAAGTGCAGTTCCCTGCCTGCGTCCCTGTGCTCTGCAAAGACAGTGGGCACTCAGCATGTTGCTGGCCATCCCCTCAGCTGGCTGGTCTGCATTGCTCACAGGAGTTAGTCCCCCAAAAGGTCAGGCTGAGTGGGGCCACAGGGCAGCTGGGGGGCTCTGGGCTTTAGGGAGCATGCAAGCTGGAAGCAGGACAAGGCCTGGGTGAGTGGCTGGGTGCTTACAGGACACAAGCAGATAGCCTGTTCTTCAGCAGGTCTACAGCGGGATTCAGTGCAGACTTGCACTGTAGGAGCCTGGCTCCCTTGCCCAGGGAGGTGTAGGGCTGGCTCGCTGACAGCAAGGGATGACTGGTTCAGGGTGTGTTGGAACCTGGCACACAGCTGTACCGCCTGCCCTGCTGCAACCATGTTGGGCCAGCCAGAGGCTGATCCGTGCGGTCCTGAGGATGGCGCAGCCATGGGGCCCAGACCTACTCCTGACATGCAGGCTCCGGCAACCCCCTAGGCGCTGCTCTTGACGCGGCAGTCCCCAGTGGCCTTCCCTGGGCTGCACTGCATTGAGTGTAGCTGAATCTCAGCCCTTCTCCTTCCCCCTGTGCCCTAACAGCTCTGCCTGTGCCATTCTCTGCATGGGCAAGGAATGCTCAGCCTGCCGTGCCTGCTTCTGCCAGGCTGTCAGTTACCCAGCCTGTGCTCAGGCCAGGATTCCACAGGTGCTTTTTGGTGACTGTTCCTCTCCAACAATGCCCCATGCACTCCAGGGCTCATGATAGCGTGTTTATGGAGTGATCGCCAGGAGTCCCTGCTCAGTGGCTCTGTTGAGATGGCCCCAGCAGGGACAATGCAATGGGCTAGTTATACACATGGACGACAGTCCCTACCTAAAGTGCAGGCCCATATGGTTTTAGCATATTTTGGAAGAAATATACGGAGGAAACAATCACTCAAGCACTAGGTTGCCTAACTGCTAAGTCTTGCAGCATGGATGCCCTGGTCTCTGCAGCCATGGTGGATGTGCAGCAGCCTCTGCATCTTCCTGTGGGGCTGGCTGTGCCCCATTGAGGAGCTGGGCACAGGCAGTGGGTGAACTGTTCATATTCCTTCTCCTGCCTGGCCCTGGTTGCTGGCTGGTCCGAGCCTGCCTGGGGGCCTAAAGCACAGCGTGCACGTGGGAAGAGCTCTGTACAATACACCAGCTCTTTGGTGAACCTGCCTGTGGCTCTTTGATGGTGTGCTGTCTGCAAACAATGCTCCTTGTTCTGCCTTGCCCTTGCATTGTAGCTGCTGTCTGGCCCCTACCCTGGCGCTTGCACTGCGTGGCTGTCATGTGTCGAGAGGTACGGCGCAGCGGAGGCTGCTGTTGCCAACAGAGTGGTACGTTCCTGCCATGTTGTGGCTCTGCTTGGAACCTCTGTATAATGGCTTGTAAGAAGAGGGCTGATTCAGCCACCCTTATAAACACTGGTTCTGTGATGGCTCTGACTAGTTGGTTGTTTGTGTTGTCTCCCCCCTCTCATAATCCGCACGTGGAAGTGGGCAGCCAGGCAGCGGTCTGACTTTGGCCACCTTGCTACCCCAACAGATGCTCAGGAAAGTTGCCAAAAGCTTGGGGAAAGGGAGGCTAGTTTCACCCACTCCCACTCTGGAGCCATGATCTTCCTGTGCTCGGCAAGGCCAAAATTAGCTGGTACCCCCAGCTGTGTAGAGAGCAACTGGCTGCTCTTCCTGGGCATGCAAAGCCCTGCTCATGGCTGCTGTCCCACAGTTGCAGGACAGGACCTGGGCACAGCCTTTTATGGGTCTGTGCAGCTTCCCAAATCACCAGGGGAAAAGCCCATACCTACATATGTGCTTGCATAGCAGAGTTGGAGAGTGTTAGCTGAACAAAGCCTGTCCTGGTCAACAGAGCACCTCGAAGAGCAGATCTGCTGCTCTGGAAGGGGCATTTCATTTATGGGTGCTGTGGGAGAATGGGCCCTGGCTAGTCCCACAGAAACTGAGGTGCCCAAGGGGCTATGGCTGCTGTGCAAAGGTAGCTTGGAACTTAGGACTTACAGATAGATAAATATAACCATATTTACTCAGTCAGACCTGGTCTGACAATAGTAGACAATAAAAAAGGACAATACTGAGCAGAAAACTATCTCAGCACTGGGGCAGATCCTCTAAAGATGACAAGAGTTATGGACAGAACTGATTAAAAAATTTGTGAGCCACTGTAAATAATGTGAATTAAAAAGTGAATCACGTGTGTTAATCCATCTAGACACCCATCCTCATCACTGTTCACTAGGGAAATTTCTTTTCCTTGATAAGAAAGTCACTCTTCATTAAGAATAAAGTATCCAACAGCTAGACAGGGAGGCAGATAGATTGAACTCTCCTTATCAATTGTCTGCATTTAATCTCTGCTATAATGATCAGCCTTACCTGGGATTCATGGTAATCAGTCTAATTAAAATGCATTGGAGTAAAGTATGTAGGTCATAGTGGAATAATGGCCCGTGATGGGGCTCTGGAAAACTGCTTCTCTGAAAGAGATTTAGAGGTCATGGGGCATAAACAACTGAGCATGTGCTCCTGGGGCTGTGCTGTGGCTAAGAGGGTTAATGTGATCCTTAGATGATAATCCCCTACTTTCAGAAGTAGGAGTAGGAAGGTAGCATCACTGCTGCACGTGGGAGACAATGGCCAGGGATGGGTCTGAGCCTCACTAAAGACGCTGCTGAATTGGGGAGGACTCATATGAGAGCTGCTGGGACAATCCAGTTTTGCAAAGGAGGTTAAAGAAGGCAAGGCCATGCACTGGGATAAGAGTTCCCACAAAAAGGACTCTACTCAAGGGAAAAAACCTCAAATTCAGACTGGAAAGAGTCAGTGGATTTTTTGCTGGGGAAAAAACCTGACACCTAGGATGCTTTTACCTGGGACGTGGTAATTTCTCCATCATTGAAATGACAGAGACACATGACTGAATCAGCCCATAGCCCTCCTCCTAGAAGCATGTCTCATCCAGCCACAAGATGCATGAGGCACCAAGAAGGGGTGTCACGTCCCAGGCCACCCAGGCCAGGACTAGAGATGGCTGAAAGCAGTTGCTCTGATGATTCTCTCTGAGGCCTCGGGAGATGGGAGCTCTGCTATTATCAACACAGCCCAAATGACGCAAACCTGTGCTCTGCGGGAGCAGTGGGGACCCTGCAGGTAGTGCCTTGCAAACATGGGCAGCTGCCCTGGAGCCCCTGGAAACCCTGCAGGGAGATTGCCTGGCTCTTGCATGGTAAAGTGAGAGAGTAGGAGTCACAGGTGCATCCCCAACACTGCTTCAGGGACAATTTACTCACAGACATTAAGTTAGAAAAAGCAGGCCCTGGCCCAGTTATGTACTTCAGCCCTTTTTGTGCTCTAGGGAGGGAAAGGGGAGCACAGAGTAGTGGTGCTGGAGATACGTCTTTGGGACAACAGTGGAACAGGGTGGGCTATCCCCCAGAGAGCGAGCAATTCAGTTTCCTGATTAAATCACTTCCCAGCCTCATGTTTCAAAATTATCCTGGCCAGACCCCAGCTCTGAAGGCAGCACAGACAATCTGCAGGGCTCACTGTAAGTAAGCCTCTCATCATCCCCTATGATCCTCCCCTCTGCCTCCTGCAAATACAGCCAGAGGCTGAGGTAAGCACCACACTTCATCTCTGAGACACACACAGTGGCATGTCTGCTCCTTCTGTGGGCCTTAAAAAGGCAGGGCATTAAAAAGATGACACAAACCATAGGCCCCTTTGTCCCCTCTGCCCTCCACAAGGCATTGGAGATTTTGAAAACAGCCAGAGCTCTCGTGAGGGTGTTTTGTTGCTACATTATTCCACCCTCATCTCATGTCTGCACAGCAGAGCCATGTCCCCTTCCCAGCCTTCCCCAGCACCGAGGGGAAGGTACCATTAGATGTACATAGACTATTATAAGTAGGCTAGCATTTGTATTTTGCAAGTGTTTGTTTTAGCAGCCTGTATCTCAGAAATCCCTGAAACAAGTCTGTATTTGGAACATAGTTCTTCCATGTCTCACCACATGATGCAGCTATTTTCAATTCAATACAGTTCTAGCCCAGTGATAACAGAGGCTCCCTTTTTGAAAGCAGCCATAACAGTCTTCAAATACACAGCCACAAAATTAAAGAGAATAAACATTTACCATGTGCACAAGAGACAAGGCAAGAAGCAACAAACTTAAACTGTGACAAGGGAGATCTAGGCAAGGGACTGGAAATGCTTTCTAACAGTGACAACAGATGTGCCTGGAAAGATCATGAAGCGTCTATCAGATATTTCCAAGGTCTATTAGAAACAACCTGTGGTGAGCTGATCATACTTTGGGGTAGGGATAGCTGACTCCTTATGATCCCTTTGCCTTCATGCCTGGGATTCCCTCATTAGACTGGAAGCACTTGAGGGAAGCCGCAAACACAGAAAGACCTGATCATAGTTAGGACAAGAGCCAAGGTGCCTTTGTGCATGGCAGCACACCTGACACTAATCCCTCCTTCCTCAGACTCGGCTTTTAAATTCAGAGTACTTAGAAAAGCACATTGGCAAGCAATTATCCATGACTGGATAAAAATACCAGACTCAGTGATGCAAAGAAGATGAAAGTGTTCAAGAAAAATTGCTCCTCTGCACTTGGGAAAAAAGCCAGAAGTAGGAGTCATATTGCAGGATATTAAGACACTTTCCACTCCAGTCCTAACTCAGAATGATGCTTAGTAGTGGCTACTAGAGTAGACATTTTGCAATTACCAATTCAATTTGCCCCAAAAGTTGTTATGAGGAATTAGCCAGTGAGCTTCCCCAGAGCATTAATACTGATTTTCCAAAAACGATCAGATGGTTGGAGAAGTTTCAGAGGAGTGAAAGAAAACAAACCTGCTGAACATTCAAAAAGGTGAAGAGGAAAAGCAAGGAAATTCAAGGTCTCAACCAGACGCTAATGAGCCAAAATGAGAGCTGCTCAAGAATTAAGGAGGAAAATATTAATGCCAGTCAATATGGATTTGTAGTATAACTCTTTGCTTTCGTCAGGTCAGGAAGTTTGAAAAAGGTAGCAGTGCTGATGTAATACAATGTCTTCCAAGAAGCATCCAACTGTGGACTACCTGATAATTTTTTAAATAAACTAAAAAGGAGTAACATTGAAGTAACATTCACTTAGATGAAAAACTGGCTAAGTGCTGGAACTAGGATTGTGAACAAGGATTCATCAACAAATCTTCTTGTGAGTTACTCAAGGATTAGTTCCCAATCTCAAAGAAAACAAAACTGAGTCTGGAGGAAAGAGAAATAGTGATACAAACTGGTGGGACTGGTAGGTAAACTGGAAAGAGCAAGTATTTCAGTATAACCAAAAGCCATACTTCAGCTTTTCTTGTCCCGTAACTGATCTTGTTAACCTACCCAGCTAGTTACTACTTACATTCACTTACTGAAAGTTAACTAACAGAATAGATGTTGACAGTGAAAGGATGGCAGGACACCTTCCATCCAGCTACTTTGGGGACCCAAGAAACCATATGAGAAACTTGGAGGTATTTTTCCACTCCTTCCTTCTCCATGCATTAATCCTTAATAACCTTTTATAAGAGGTGCCAAAGCATGTCCTACAGCTTCATAACACAAAATCTTCTGCACTCCAAGTTCAGCAGCTTCTACAGGCTAGCTATCCTGGTCTTCTCTCTGCAGTGCTCTGGGGAAGATAATTCTGCCTGAGCGTAGAGATCAATGTTCACTTTTCCATAGTGATCTATTTTCTAATCAAACCTGCAAGACAATTCAAACAGCATTTAATATATATATCCCAATTATATCACCCTATAATATACCACTGGCTCTCCTGATATTTTTAGGTTCCCAAATGATACAATGATAGGTTTATTAAGCTTAAGTCTCACAAGAAGAAAACAAACAAACAAAACCAGCTGTATCTAACTCAAGTGAATAATGAATTGATATGTGCTAATGCCAATGTAAGTAGATCTTCTCTAGTAACACCAGGTGGTAAATAAGAAAGGACTTGATGTGCATTAATTCTTTACGTACCTTACTCTTTATATGATTTTAACTTGCAACTCTTTTTTGGGGAGTATAGGAACGACTAGGGGTAAAAGAAGTAAGAGAAACAATAAATGATGATTAAATACTTTAAAATATAAGTATTTATACTGATTTAAAACAAGGCCTGTTGCAGCTTCTGTGTTTAATATATGATTTTTTTCATCTAGAGATTGAGAAGGGTTCAGGATGGTTTTGAAAATCCTGGAAATAATCAATATTTACAGAACATATAACATGTGAGAAACTTTTCAGAATGGTGTGAACAGGCTATGAGTTCGAAGCACAGAAATTATTTATTACATATATAAATGTAAGATAATTTGCACAATTATAGGTCAGATTCTATTTGGCAAATCATGATTGCACTGAGTTATTTTCAGATAAAGAAGTTAAACTTCATCATTTGCTGAGAACTGATGCCAAGTGAAGTTCCACTTGTAGGCACATTTATTAGCTAAATGAAACATAAAAGTGAAGAGGATGATTATAATGGTTGTGCTCTGGGAAAGAAGTATAAAGCAAAGTACAGGGCACCAACCACCTGGAAGGAGACTGGCAGCAGCAGTCCTGAATTTTGGCCCTTCCCTTAGTGAGCTGCCTCCTCAGACAGGTGTCATCATTGATTTCCAGGAGAATGCTGCCTGGATCTCCTCAGCCCCTGCCAGTCAGTGTTAGCTAAAGAGAAAATCAAACCCAGTGCACATCGGCACACTAAGGGACAGGCCATGCTTGTCTAGTTTGAGCTACAGATTAAAAAGAAGAAAAAAAGTTAAGAAAATCCTTGCAAACTTTCAGGAAATGAAAGACAGTTATTTATTCACAGTCTTAACTACATTAAGGTGGCACTCCAATATTGCTGGGATTTGCTGCCCTCTGACTCAGGACGGAGCAGCTTGAGCCTCCATCCCAAGCCAGACACTACCAGTGTTTTGTTTGACTGCTCTCAGCCCTTCTCCCAGCCTGACAGAAACAGCTGAAAGAATAACCTCTTCATGTGGATGCCAAGAGAGCGAGAGTGAAGATACACTACTCAGAGCACAGCTGTACGGCTGTGACTCCTGTTTTGGGGAGGGTCATGATGTCTCAGCACTCTGCAAGAAGGATGACCCCATAATAAGGATATTGAGTTACCACTGAGAGCCTGTCCCATTTCCAGGCAGCTTGTAGCATCTATCCAGTGTACCACTGAAGAACGCAAGAGTGCACATCCAGGAAATAAGAATGCCTACCATATTTTTGGGAAGGGGGTCATCACGGAGAGCATGGCCTCCACATAAGGCTAAAGAATTCTGATAGGAAGCAGCTGAAAATGAGTCACCAGTGCCCTATGACAGCTAATTGTGCAAAGGCAAACCTGACTGTCTAATAAGATAAGAACAACCATAAGATAGAAAGCATATGTTCACAGCACATTTCTGGATAAAGCTTTGCTTTCTACATAAGTGCAATCTCCAGCTGCACCAACCCTACTGTGGTTGGTTGTGGATTCAAGCACCATCAACTACCAGTGGCAGCTGCTGCACGTAGTCTTCCACCCAGCCCCAGCCCTTCCAGATGAATGTCCCTACACACAAAGCTGATGATCAAAAAGGAGGCAGTTACATGGGCTTCTCATCCACAGGAATGCTCTTGCACCTCCTGAAAGAGATTTAGTGCCAGTCATTGCAGAAATCATAAAGTGAATAGAAAGAAAAACTTATAAGTCACAGCAATGATGAAATAGCCAGTATTTCTAGAGAACCTGCCCTTAGCACTGCCCCAGGGTGTCCCCATGTCAAGGGCTTGGTCAGTAGGAGTAGGATGTTATGCAGAGGTGCAGAAGAAGGAGCCCTAAAGAGATTCTTATTAAGCCACTGCATTTTGGAAATTGGCCGCTGCTCTGGGCTAAGGCTGAAGCTCGACCTTCGACTGACTATTTCTCTGCAACATTTTGTTTCCGCCATGTCACAGAGGTCTGCAAGTTCTTTGTTCACAGGAATGACCTAGAGGGGGAAATCACTACAGGTAAGCAAGTATATGGTATGATTTACCTTCCTTCAGACAAAATTTATCGCAACATATTCTAGGCTCTCCCAACCCACACGCAAAATTCTGACACAAGCTTGTGAAATCTGGGGCTATTAGCAAACAGTGCCACATTACCAGTAGGAACAAGGTTCAATAAAGAGCAACGTCCTACTCCCAGGGCAAGGAGTAGAAGAGACAAGATGATGAAGTGCAGTTTAAAAGTAACACATGAATCAAAGCAAGACATAGGTTTTCATGCAAACGCCTCACAGCACTACCGAAAGATAGAGTGAGCTGTAGTGGATAAAGGTGGGAAATACCCTGTCCCAAGACAACCCCCACAGAGAAAGTCAGGACAATACCAGAATGGACAGTAAGCTCAGAAGAATGGTCTACAGGAAGAGAAGTTATAACAGCTGGAAAGAAGGAGGTAAAAGGACAGATGCTGAATTACGAGGGAAGCCTCAACACTCTAGGGATTATCTAGTCTCTTTAAGGCTGACATTTGGATTGGTCCTAGCAAAGGGTCAGGAAGGCCAAGATTCATCTGATTAAATGCAGGTGACTGAAGGGAAACTGTCTCCTCTGAGCTCATCATCACAGACTCCCTGTGTAGTCTGTGGTGATATATAGTAGTCAATATAGTCAGCAGAGTTGAGGTGCAATTCTCCCTGTCCTAAAGCTGATCTCTACCCTTAGTTGCGTTAGTTATGCCTTATATATCATTGATTAAATCTCCATCTTCTATGAATAGATCTCATGTAATTACCTCAGATGTAGTTAGGGACATTGTAGATGAGTTAGGCAAAACAAATCCCTCCTCAAAAAACAACTAAGTAACTGTCTTCTTTTATTAAGAATTAAAAGTAGTTGCTAACTAGCTGATCACACGGGCATTTACTGGCTACTGGTCTGAGACATAGCCTCTACTTGGCTCAAATTTCAGAATTGATTCTCTTTGGCAGGGCACATGAGATACCTTGTGTTGATGCCTACTTGGTGGCAAAGGGCTGCCTTCTCAGACCTGGCACTGTTCACAAAGGGGGGAGATTTTCTAGTGGAAGTTCTTGCGCCACACAAAGGGTATTTACCTCCATTAGAAACAGGACAGAAATCTTTCTAGAACTATTTGCATCTTCAAAGCAGATAGCCCAAGCTTCTCAGGGAACATTTGAATCCACAGTAGGCCAGATTTCTTCCAGTTCCCAACATCACTGCGCTGTGAGCTGAGCCCTGCCTCCTCCATATTTGGCACACCTTATGGCTGGCCAAAGCCTAAACAATGCTCAGTTTGGGGCGTTCATGCATCTTGGTGTTGCTGCAAACACACAAAGTGGAGCCCGGCCATGTACTGATGTTCCTGTGTTTCCAAGTTGGGGGCCATTCCATCCATATACAGTCCTCACTGGCCTGCAACAATGCCACAGCCAGAATCCCTCTAGCAGCAGTTTGTTATTCGTATACCACCCGTTCAACCTCTTCCCTTCCTTCCGGTTTAACACTTACTGGCAAGTCCAGGATCTCTACACTGGTGCCAGAATTTGCCTGTAGAGCTTTGAGGTTTCCAAAGCAGCCTTCACTCTGCATGGAATTTCTGGTCATCTGAAGTCAGGAAAGAAACAACAGGAGAATATGTGACATGTCTTCCTCTTCCTAACATTTCTTCTTTGGCATCATGAAAGTCTGTTCTTGTCTCTTCACACTGGGGACTGTTTAGCAGAAAACCGTTATCCTCCTAAAGCGGCAGTCAACCATCAGCCACACATTAAAACCTCCTAATGACCAAGGGCCAAAAGACATGAACTACCTATCTCGGAGAAGGTAGGCTGTAGGAGTGGTTCATGGCTGGGAGACATGGATATCCTCAGGAGTCTTCACTCAAGCAGTGGGACTAGGCTGTGTGAAGCGGTGTCCCAACGCCCACAGCAATGGTAGCCACAGCTTGCTCACTGACACAGCCAAGGATACGGATTATCCAGGAGTCCCTGCATCAGCACAGCACTGTTGCTGGTCCTGAGACGCAGCCCAACAGAGAAGCCAGGCTTCCACAGATTGCAGGATGCACATGGCCCAAAAGCCACAGTTTGGCCATCCTGAATTAGGAAGATCTCTGGGCTGTGAGACATGCAAGAAGTCTGGTTGACCTGTACTGCATAATAGCACGTTATTATCAGAACTATCTTGTCCACCTTCAGTTCAGCAACTCAGGCCTTTAAGTTTTCTCACACATCCTCTTTCAAGGGAGTTCCTCAGACCCTTTCACCTGCTCCTCCTTTTGTCCTTTCATACATCATCCCTAGCTCTCTTTACATGCATCTGCTACCTGACTCTGATCCCAAATTCTGACAGCACATCTTACCCAAGCAGAATCATTCAACGGACACTGCAGGCATGCAGGTCCCATTGGGCAAAACAGAAGAAGAGCAAACAACATGGAAACTTACTGGGACTCCAAGATTTTTTGTATGATCCTCCCCTTGGTGGTACCAGTGGTCCCCAATGGGTGACAGCTGGGTTTATCTCAAGTGCCAGGAACAGTAGGAAGACAGATGTAAGAGTTAGCTCAGTGGCCAACAAATCTCTGGGAAGATGACTGGCCATGAGCCAGCGCTCCCTCAGAGCTGTCTGAACAGCCAAAAAAGGGAAAGGAGTAGTAGGCCAAGAGCCCTCAAATGGCCATCACAGTGCCTCCTACCACCCCTAGGTGCACATTATTGCTGCAGAAAAAGGATTCTATCCATGCTGAAAGACACGTTAGGCCAGGCAATGATACATACAATGGCAGGGATGCAGAAATCTATCTTCACAGACAAAACCATGCAAGTGCTCAGTATTAATGAGAGCATACTGTAACCAGGAAAGCATGGGAAGAGACCAGCTCGGGTAAGTGGCTCGCTGATCTTGCTCTGGATTTGCTCTAAGAGGTTCCAACCCAGGAAAATATGGGTATCAGTGATATTTAAATATGCATAAGAGGCTCCAATACCTTCCTTGGAAAGTTACCCGCATTAAGGTTTTTCAGAGTCTTGTTTTCTTGCAGGCCTAGTGCAATCATTGCTAAAAATAGATAAAAGATACAGTTCATACACTGTACTGCAGGTTTTAAACTGTTAGGTTTTCTATATTCACACAGCCAGACTGATGCTTCAAAAGATATTGATAGCATAAATTGCTCAGGCAGAGGATATACAGCTTCCTGCCTCACCCAACACTGAAAAACTGTTACCTCCAGACAGAATTTAGGGCAGTTCTTTCCAACTAAATAACTGTATTTGGGATATGGGAAGCTGTTAGGGGTTACCAAATCCGGTAGCCCAAGAGATGCTGCAGCTCCATGTCCCCAGGTCCAACCAGTAGCGAGACTAAGCATGTATTCCCAGTAGGCACAAACACAAACACACATACACACACATCTGTACATATACACGCAGCCAGCCACACAGATCAACAAAGACAGCAACACGCAGCACTCAAGCTAACACAAAGAGCACCGACAGCCTCATCCTACTCCCCTCTCTGGCTGATCAGAATGAAGGTCTGTTGCTGGGAAATACGTACATATATACAATGCGGTTCCCTCCAGTAGCTGGGCTTAGACAATTAGCATATCTAGTAGCTAGCCCTCAATTTCCCCAGCAGCCTGTTTACATGCCTTATCTCTTTATAACTCTGTTTTCCCACACTGTTCCTCCTCAAACCACCTTGATTTCTCCTTTCCCCACTTTTGGTTCCTCTTCTAAACATCCCATAGTAAGTTTTAATCTTGGTCTGGCAAAATGATAACTATCAACTGATCTGGAGGATTTTATACTGTGTGTAGTTTGTGGCTCGCTGATCTTGCTCTGGATTTGCTCTAAGAGGTTCCAACCCAGGAAAATATGGGTATCAGTGATATTTAAATATGCATAAGAGGCTCCAATACCTTCCTTGGAAAGTTACCCGCATTAAGGTTTTTCAGAGTCTTGTTTTCTTGCAGGCCTAGTGCAATCATTGCTAAAAATAGATAAAAGATACAGTTCATACACTGTACTGCAGGTTTTAAACTGTTAGGTTTTCTATATTCACACAGCCAGACTGATGCTTCAAAAGATATTGATAGCATAAATTGCTCAGGCAGAGGATATACAGCTTCCTGCCTCACCCAACACTGGAAAACTGTTACCTCCAGACAGAATTTAGGGCAGTTCTTTCCAACTAAATAACTGTATTTGGGATATGGGAAGCTGTTAGGGGTTACCAAATCCGGTAGCCCAAGAGATGCTGCAGCTCCATGTCCCCAGGTCCAACCAGTAGCGAGACTAAGCATGTATTCCCAGTAGGCACAAACACAAACACACATACACACACATCTGTACATATACACGCAGCCAGCCACACAGATCAACAAAGACAGCAACACGCAGCACTCAAGCTAACACAAAGAGCACCGACAGCCTCATCCTACTCCCCTCTCTGGCTGATCAGAATGAAGGTCTGTTGCTGGGAAATACGTACATATATACAATGCGGTTCCCTCCAGTAGCTGGGCTTAGACAATTAGCATATCTAGTAGCTAGCCCTCAATTTCCCCAGCAGCCTGTTTACATGCCTTATCTCTTTATAACTCTGTTTTCCCACACTGTTCCTCCTCAAACCACCTTGATTTCTCCTTTCCCCACTTTTGGTTCCTCTTCTAAACATCCCATAGTAAGTTTTAATCTTGGTCTGGCAAAATGATAACTATCAACTGATCTGGAGGATTTTATACTGTGTGTAGTTTGTCCTGCTCCGCCCTTCCTGCCAGCCCACCCATGCTCTGATCATTCCACATCATTTCTAGTTACAATAATTTTCTCCATAGATGCACTACTCTAAACACAAGCTTGTTCCCTGACTTTTATGACTACCCTCTCTGCCAGCTTTTCTGTTTTTTTTTGTTGTTTGGGTGATGTTTGGTTTTTTTTGTTTTTGCTGAGACAGCTATCATGTGTCATATTGACCACCACAAATTGTTGAGATCTGTTTCTCAGCTACCTTGCTTCCCTTGCTGCCTTATACAGAGGTCACTTCTAAGCCTGCCTGCCTGCAGACCATGTTTTGAACAGAGGCAATGGCCCAGTTCTTGCTCCAAACACAGACGAGCTTTTTCTCTCATACTCTAAAGTCTCATTTTTGGAGGTTCTTCCAACCTTGTTTCTCATAATTGATCAAGAACTCACCAGGCCCTTCAACCAGTTACAGCACTTCCTTCTCAATTCATTGTTGCAAATTTTGGCAACTTTGTTCTTCGAGGCTATCTTTTTTCATTTGTCCCAAACTCTTCTACACCAGCTCTCTGGGCTGCCCTGGTCAGAGGGAGTTGGGGCTTTTGTTTCAGGTGGCTCCTGACTGGGTGGGTCAAGCACCCTTGTGAGTCACTGCTAGGCAGAGGCCTATATAAGAGCCAGGCCTACAGCACAGCTCCCAGAGCAGAGGCAGTGAACAGATGCAGCAGTTTGCGCAGCAGTGTCTGGGCTCTGCCTGGGCCTTTTGTGGGCCTTGTTGGAAGTTGTGGGGACTTTCTGGGGACCCCCGAGGAACTAGACAGTGCTTGCTGCTAGCAGGAAGGGAGAGCTGGGCAAGGACTCCTGCAGGGGACCTTGACGTCACTTCTCCTGGGAAGTTCTAGCTAGGTG